CTTTAGGATAATGGGTCTCAGGAATTGGGATTATAATTACAGGGAAGTTGGATGCCTCCGGAATAGGACATGCTATATAGACATAACGTTATCTTACAAGGATATACTTACCTAAAATAAGAATTACTTTTTTTCCATCTCTTAAATATCTAACCAGGCGTCAGGTACATTATTATTTTATATTTGGTTACAATTTCTTAACACTATCTTGCCGGTAACGGAACTAATAGATCCCCTCTTTCTTACTCCTCTCTTCTTTACAATGCTAGCTGACTACATAGTGGTACCGTCCACTATAATAAAAAGGGTATACATCATGTATAGGATCTATATACTAGTGAATATACTTGGTGCACGCTACGACTCCTGGTGGGTGATGAAAATATGAAATAGAAAATTATACACTAGGATCTGATAATAAAATAGTTATATATACTTATTTGTTAATATAAATTGATATGTATTGTTTTTAGGGATATAGGAAATAATAATAAAAATAATAATATTACAAATATATTAATGGTGCCATATCATATACATCAAACCAAGAACTTAGATTAAGAGGAGAATATTTAGAAGGTAAGAAATTTAAATTATTATAGATATAATTGAAAATATCAGTAACAATATTCATAAGCAAATTAAGTTAAAGAATTAAGAAATATAATTTAATAAAGATTAAGAATATAGTAGAAGATTTGAAGAAATATAATTTAAATAGAAATATAAATAATTATTTTAGAAAATGTTGAAGGAATTAGAAAAATAAATTTATAAAGAATTAAATTAGAAAATTTGGAAGAAATATAATTTATAGAAATATAAAGAATTATATTATAAAATTTTGAAGAAATATAAGTTGAATAGATATAAGGAATTATATTAGTAGAAAGAAATTAAATTTAAATATATTAGAAGATTTTTAAGTAATATACTTTAAAAAATATATAAAGATATATTAGAAAATTTTGAAGAAATATAATTTAAATAGAAATATAAAGAATTATTTTAGAAATTGAAGAAATATAATTTAAACAAAGATTTAAATTAGAAGATTTAGAAGAAATTTAATTTAAACAAAGATATAAAGAAACATAAAAGATGTTGTATACGTTAATAGTAATTTAGTTATTATGCATTGTTATAAATATACGAGAAGTTAGAGTATGATAGTAAAATTATTAATAAATCCCAAATAAAATGCGGGGAGTGCAGAGATAATAGATATAAAAGATATCATTCAAAAGAAGAAGGACAGAGGTTTAACATGAGGTAAAATACATTACATTAAAAATGAGGAAAATTTTTGTTAATAAATTAATTAATGTTAAAAAAATTAAGAGGGATATTAACTTTATTAGGATTAAATGTTATTACAATAAGATTTAAAATTAGGTGGAAGAAAGAATGAGAATCAAAATGATAGATTTTGATAGAATTTTCACAATTAAAGGAATAATAATTCTCTCTCCCAAAATCCTACCTTCAGCCTCATCGTGGCGGGGGAGTGGCAACGTCTTTTGGCGGCTAATGGAGGTCTAAAAGGTTCCGTGTGATCTCGGTCTAGAATGGGATCACCGTCTCCTCGACGAGGTGTAAAAACCACTTAAAGAGGTTGATGTCAGGAACAGGGTTGCTAGGTCAAATTTTTCAAATTGCGGGAGAAATATAAAAATTGCTGTATAAATATAAAAATTGCTAAAAAAAAATTCCTTGCGGGCCGAAGGCCCGCAGCCTTTCGACCAGATTTTGAATTGACTTAATTATCCACCTATTATTTTTTATTTAGTTTATATAAATACAACGTCGGTAACTATTTTTCAAAATAAAATAACATCTTGATTTATTAAAATATATTAATTTATAAAAAAAACCAACGATCTTTTTTAAATATAACAGAATGTAAACAAGATAAAATTTTATAAAAAAAAACGATTTTAATTTTACAATTAAAAATATATTTTATGCCAATGTCCCGCAAAACAACCGCAATTGATAATCTACCGTAAGTGTGTGTATAACATTATAGGGATATGCGATTAATTATCACGTTTAAATACATAATAAGGTACTCCAAAAATAAGAAATAATACAGATGAAACTACATTTGCGGCAATTGTAATCACATCTTGTAGTAAAACATTCACAAAGATACTTATCATCACAATGTTGGTAGAATCTTTTCCTCATAATATTTAACGACTCTAATATAAATAAAACTATACTTGTAGAACAAATATGGGTAAGGCTATCATCAATGTTTTAGGACCTAAATCCAGGAGGTCAATTCTTGACGATTTGAAAAATAGGTATACATATGCAATTCTAACAGATGCATCTAATAAGGGAAATATTAAAATATTTCCCTTGATCCTCCTCTATTGTATCAAAATTAAGGTTTCAATAAAACTATTAATAGCAGATTCGAGATTATCAATAAATTGCATGTCAGCTTTCTGATCTGATAATGCCTCAGTGAATTTGGTAAAAACAGAGTGTATTTACAGAATTGAGTCAGGTCAATGTTGGTTGCGATATGTTCCCAATACCTGCTATCGGAATTTTAAAATTTTATAAACCTTTAAAAAAATATTTCTTAAATAAAGATTATAAAAGCTGTCCTAATATTTTGAAAATTTTTTTCAATAATGAATGGCAGAGGTATATTTAGGAATGATTTCACATGTAGGAAATCTACTACATGCTGTTATTGTGTAGTTGCAATCAGAAGAATCTTAACAAAGATTCACAAAATTATGCTGCAGATGTGTTCACTTTTACAGTTAAAAATTGATAATAAATTTTATGGCGCCATTGCTAAAACATAATTATATTTTATTTGAGATTTAAATAATAAAACTAAATGTTTACCGTCGTTATTGAGATATTTATAAAACTGGCATGACATATTATATATCTGTTTAACCATTAACTCGGCCTCTAATGTTGTTAAAGCAATCCGATTTCTCTCCTTTTTCCAGGCAGTCCTCATCAGGCTAAAAATGCGCTCGGATGAGGCATTAGAATGAGGTAAGGAGAAGACATACTCGCATATTTTTTCCAAACATGGGGATTTATCGTTTATACGAAAAAATTCTACCCATTTCTCCACTGCTTTCAGACTATCTAACTTTAAGTATTTTGGCGAATCATAAAAAATGAGAGAATTACAATCTCCTCAAATAAGAAATCAATGTCTTTCGATATTTATAATATATTTATTAATTATAAAAACCATCAATTGATTGTTTCTGTTCCAAGGTCATAATATTTATACATTTGTAAATAGAGTTATTAAAATCAAATTTTGATTGTAAATATTCTAAAATTGTCTTAATAAAAATATCTGCTTCATTTAAAAATGTATTAATTAGAGTATTATTTGAAAATTTAATATAATATTTTTAGCAATAGCGCCATAAAATTTATTATCAATTTTTAACTGTAGAGATGAACAGAGCTGTAGCATGATTTATAAATAATATTCTGATTGCAACTGAATATTAACTGCATGAAGTAGATTTCCTACATGGAAACGAATCCCAAATATGCTTCTGCCATTTCATACTCGAAAAATTTCTCAAAATTTTAGGACAGCTTTTAAAATCTTTATTTAAGAAAAGTATTTTTTTTAAGGGTTTATAAAATTTTAAAATTCTATCGATGGCAGGTATTAATGACAACCACCTGATAGGTATATATCGCAACAACTCACACCATTCCAAGTCAGACCACTTCACCAACTCTTTTAATTCATTAACTCTTTTAGTTGATGACTAAATTCGTTAAAACATTTCATCACAATTATTTCGACATCCACAGATAGTACATTTATTGCCTTCTTGCAAGAATCATGTAGTATATGGCATATACAGCCAATTGATATTATCTCATTATTGTGCTGCCTCAATTCGGTAACTTTGGTTTTTGCCAAAATTTACAGAGGCATTATCAGCGCAGAAAGCTGACATGCAAATCATTGATAACCCTGAATAAGCTATATTTACCATTATGTTGTTAGCTATATCGTTGAATTTTTCACTATCCGAGGAAAAAATTTTTAACAGTTTTATGGAAATATTTTTATTCTTGTTAAAATAGCGAAGGATCAAGGGAAATGTTTTGATATTTCCCTTATTAGATGCATCTGTTAGAATTTAATATGGATGCCCATCTTTCAAATCGTCTAGAATTGACCTCTAGGATTGAGGTACTAAAACAATTGTGATAGCCTTGCTCATTTTTGTTCTGCCACAAGTAAGTTTTGCACTTATATTGGAGTCGTTAAATATCATGAGAAAAAGATTCGACCCACATTGTGATGATATAGCTCTGTGAATGTTGAACTACATGATAGATGTATACGATTTCCGCAAATGTATTTGCATCTGTATTATTTATTATTTGAGAATATTTTTGTATTGCAGTCGATGTTGATATACTCTCCTGTACTGACTTATATGAATGATGTTGATTTATTATTGGATAAAAATAAAACAGGATAGAACATGTTTTTCGAATAAATATTTAAAAATATAAAAATCATCAATTAATGTCTTTAAAAATTATTATTTATATATTAAAAATGTTAAAATTCAAAAAAAAAAAATTGCGGGAGAAATTAAAAAATTGCGGTAGATTTTTGCGGGAGATTCCCAATTGCGGTTTTACGGGAGAGAGATGTCTGCGTGTAAACCAAAAAATTACGGGAGTCTCCCACTGCTGGGGGGAGACATGGCAACCCTGGTCAGGAAGGGCATCCGATTGTAAAAACTTTGCTTACAAAATTTCCCTATGGTTATAACAAAGCATGGTCGGGGTACAGCCCAAAGTACCCCGTGGGCCTCCTCATCCGCCTACGACAAAAAGAAGGATGAGAAACTAGTGGAATCACGATTCATAAAAATGAAACTTATGACGGAGATAAACGACCTGATAATAAGTGGAGAAACCAGTCTACGGAGGATCGAGTTAGGGTCGCGACATGGAATGTTGGGAGTATGACGGAAAGAGCAAGAGAAGTAGTCGATGTACTGCATAGAAGGCATATACATGTGTGCTGCATACAGGACACTAGATGGAAAGGAAATGGGACAAGAATGATTTGCAAAACTAGTGAAAAGTATAAATTCTTTTGGCAAGGAAGTAATGATGGTAAAACTGGAGTTGGGGTATTGGTTGCGGAGAAATTGGTAGACAAAGTAGTCGAAGTGAGAAGGCTAGATAACCAGCTAATAGTTATCAAGATGATTTTTGGTAGAAAGCTATATAATATTATCTCGGCATATGTTCCTCAGGTTGGAAGAAGTGAAGAAGTGAAAGATATATTTTGGGACAGTCTATTGGGGGTGACATCGAGACTGGCAAATGAAGAGGGGATTATCCTGGCTGGTGATCTGAATGGACATGTGGGAGCGAGTAGTGAGGGTTATGAAGGAGTACATGGAGGGTTCAGTTATGGCATGAGAAATTTGGAAGGAGAGAGGATTTTAGTGATGCTATGGATATGATTGTCTGTAATACAATGTTTAAGGAAGAATCCGAGAAGCTGGTGACTTATAAGTCGGGTAGTACCAAAAGTGCAGTGGATTACTTGTTATTAAGGAGATGTGACCGATGTATAGTAAAAAATGTGAAAGTGATACCGGGAGAGGAATGTATAAATCAGTATCGATTAATTATAGGAGATCTCACTCTTAAAAGTGCTAGGATCACTAAAAGAAAGTTTGTGCCAAGGCTGAAGTTTTGGAAATTGAGGGAGGAGAATGTTAGACATCAATTCAGTATGACATTGGAGATTAGGGAGGCGGAGGTGGCACAAGCATCTGGGGTAAATGAAAGTGGGAAGCCATGAAGAAAACCTGGGTGATGACAACCGAGGACGTATGTGGATGGACAAAAGAGCCGCCTAGACATAAGGAGAGTTGGTGGTAGAACCAAGAGGTAGTGAAGGCTGTGGATGAGAAACGAGGTGCTTCAAAGAATGGTATAACAGCAAAAAAATATTGATAACGATATTTACAAGATGGCTAAAAGAAATTAATAGCGAAGGCGCAAAAAGAAAAAAGACAGGAGTTTGCTAAAGAAATGAAATGCGCCGAAGGAATGGGAAATGTGGTCCGAATTGCAAAGCAGATAGCAGAGGCAGGATGTGGTAAGTGTTAAATGTTTGAAAAATATGGAAGGAAAAATGGTGATTGATAGTAGTGGTATTAAGAACACCTGGAAGTTTACATGAAAGGACTTTTGATTGAAGAAAATGAATGGGATAATGATGTTATATGTGCAAAGGTAGAAGGTCCAGGGTGTAAATTTGGCAAGGACGATATAAAGAGAGCAGTGAAAAAGATGAAAAAGGGAAGGCATCGGGTTTAACGATGATGGTATCAGAGATGTTTAAAGGTTCTGATGATTTAGGGATTGAATGGTTAATGAATTTAGCCAATAGAAGGAACTATTCCCGAGGACTGGCGAAGAAGTATAATTATCCCATTATACAAGGGGAAAGGTGATCCTTTAGATTGCGGGTCTTAGAGAGCTATTAAACTCTTGGAACATGCAATGAAAGTATTTGAGAGAGTTTTAGAGAAGCGGATAAGGGAACAAATTAAAAGTGATGAAATGCAGTTTGGTTTTATATCGGGAAAAGGCACGACAGATGCAATTTTTGTGGTGAGACAAATGCAGGAGAAATATCTTGCGAAGGAAAAGAAACTCTATTATGCGTTTGTTGATTTGGAGAAAGCAATTGATAGGGTGCCGCGTGAGGTTACTAGATTAGCCTTGAGAAAATCAGGTGTGGAGGTGGTTGGTTATCGCAGTGATGGCAATATATGTTGGAGCACAAACAGCAGTATGGACGGATTATGGTGATAGTGACAGCTTTGAGGTGAAGGTAGGACTTCATCAAGGATCCGTGCTGAGTCCATTATTATTTATATTAGTAATGGATGTGGTGGCTAAAGAAATGCGTGAAGGACTTCCCTGGGAGCTAATATATGCAGATGACCTTGTACTAATGGCAAACAGTGAGGAAGAATTGAGGGATAAAATTAGTAAATGGAAGATGACTATGGAAGCAAAAGGCCTGAAAATGAATGCATCAAAGACAAAGGTGATGATTGGTGGGGAAAATCTAAAAATGGAGGAATCCGATAAGTAACCTTGTGATGTATGTGGTAAAGGAGTTGCTAGAAATTCTATCCAATGCACCCGATGCCAGAAATGGGTACATAATAAATGTAGCGGGAAAAAGGGAAGTTTGATGTTAGAAAGAACGACCTTTATTTGTAGAGCATGCATTAAAGGGATACATAATAATGATAACCTAGAAAATGGTGGTCTGGATATTGGCAATGGGTTAACCCTAGAAAAAGTGGATAAATTTTGTTATTTAGGTGATATGCTAAACGCAGATGGTGGTGTAGATTCTGCCGTTGTTGCAAGGATCAGACAAGCTTGGATGAAGTTCAGAGAGATGTCGTCTATTCTTACAAATAAAAAGTTAAAGGGGAAAGTTTACGTAATATGTGTAAGGAGTTGTTTAGCTTATGGCGGCGAAATATGGGCAATCACGAAGCCAAATTAAAAAGAACAGAGATAAGGATGATTAGATAGATGTGTGGGGTATCTCTGAGAGAGAGAAAAAATAGCGAGGAATTGCGAGCAAGATTGGGTATAGAAATGATTGGAATGGTAATGTGACGAAATAGACTAAGATGGTTTGGGGATGTGTAACGTATGACAAAAGATGACTGGGTAAAGAGATGCACAATGATGGAAGTAGGAGGATCAAGACCTAGAGGAAGACCCAAGATGACGTGGACAAATGTGATAGCGGCGGATATGAGAAGCATGAATCTTACAAATATTGATGCATTACCGTCAAAAATGGAAAAGAAAAATTAGAAGGAAAACTGGCCTACCCGGGTAAACCTAGAAATCGCCATAAAACGGAGAAGAAGAAGAAGAAGAAAAAGAAGGAATAATGATTCTAAATTGAGAATTCGTATAAAGGTTATTATAAAGGAAGAATACACATGGAAAGAGAAATCTATATCACCGGGATATTTGTAGAAAACTAGGGGGAAGATAATTATGTAATATAGATAGGGATAAAGGTAAAAGTATTAATATGTAAATAAAGTAAAGAAAAGAGGATAATAGGGTTTGGAAATATATTAGAAAGGATTTACATGCTTGGGAATTAATATCGTGGAACAGTTATTTTGAAAGCTTTTGGAGTAATTATTAAGGTTGGTAGGGAGAATTATGGGGGCATAGAAGGATCAAGAAGTGGTAGGGACAAGCATGAGGAGCAGTGAAGAAGAAAATAATAAGAAAGGAAAAAGTTAATTAAGCAGTTAAACCTGAAGAATTATAAAAAATTTAATTAATTTATATTCAAATTCGATCCGGTATTTTGTGAATTTAAATTTTAGTAGAGTCATACAAAATATGAAATTGAATTATTTGTTTTAGGAGAATTTGGCAGAATAGAATAATTGAATTAAGCGTTGGATTAATAATATAATTAGGTGAATAATTCAAAGAAGTATTCAACTCGAAGGTTTCAAATTGAATAATAAAATAAAGTAGTAAGTGACAAGGAAGAGAGGTACAATAGGAATATTCACAGAAGAGCGACTCGAATATCGAAATTATTTAAATTGGAAAAGAGGGAAAGAAAGTAAGAGATGGAGAGAGAAAACAAATAAGGGAAAGAAGAGGAGAGTAAAGGAGGAATGATCAATGGAATAGGAAGGGATAAAAGGTGAACTGAAGAGTAGAAAAGGGGATGAATAGTGCAGAAATAAAGGTTGGTAACAAAGGAATGATAAAATTACACATAACACGAAGGGTTGAAATAGAAGTTGTGAAATGAAAAAGAAAAATACGATTTTTAGTTATTTTTAAATATTCTTTGTTCTTCGTATTAGTTAGAATTATTTATAATTTGAGTCATATTTCTACTGCATTATATTTTATATAATTCATTCTCAACAGAGAATAGTAATAATTGTATTATTTAATTAGGAATTTTAACTTATATTTTCACTATCTAGTTATTAATTATCAGTAATTACATCTTCATCTTTATTATAAATTATATTAAATGAATTAAAATAAGTTAATACTATGTAATAACCTATACCTGATCCTGAATTGGGAGTACTAAAATTGTGTTAAAACGGCGTAAATTAAGTATACATTATTGTAATACAAACACACATAAACAAATTTTACATTATTGCCACAATTATCATCGTACATGGGAATATATAAGAAATAATAGAAATAAGAAAACATTAATAAAACTTATATGGTTTTGTAACTTTAATTGCACTTAAATAGGACATAGAAATAATTATAACAGTAATCACACATGATAGAACATATATATATTATTTTAACAACAACACACTTAAGCAAGATAGATAATTGTAACATGAATTACATATAGACATAATGGTACACGTTTATAAAATTAATCACACACAAAAAAGAAATGTTTGAGAACGTAAAGGAAGAGAGAAATAGAATAGATGGCCGGAGGATTAATGGATTTGGTAGTCGAAATTGTATGAAGGATCAAAAGAATCGTAGCATTGGTGTACGAGTACATCATATGCAGAAAGTATAGGAAAACTTGGATTTAGGTAGTAGGGAATTCAATACTGAGGAGTAGAAAGAGAGATGAGGGGGACTGATGAAATTAACACAAAGATTTCACAAGTTAGAGATCAGTAGACGATGGGGTAACGAGGGGAACAATGACATAGAAGGTAAAAGATCACGAGGTTAGGAGGAAATCCAGATAGAGAGGGTGGGGGGGGGAGTCATATATGGAAATAAGTGAGGTGACGATTAGAAAAAAAGAAAAACAAAAGGACAATGAAAAAAGAAATAAAAGACACATTCATTCACTGATTATTAGTTTTTGTTTTAACTTCCCTATTTAGTTTTAGCAAATGGAAAGCAAATCTTTGACCAAAAAGAACAGATTGGGTCTAAAAATAAACTTTAATAAAACTTTTATTCTTCCTTCCCCAAATGCAACTCAAAATTTAAATTTTACAATTGGAGGAAATGCAATTAAGATTGTAGATAAAATAAAATATTTAGGAGTTATGCTTGACAATAAAGGATGCTGTAAAGAAGAATTGAAAATTAGAATACAAAAAGCGAGAGGGGCGTTTTATAAATATATGAAAATGGAAAACGAAAGAGATTTCTGTACACACCAGATTAAGATTTTCAATTCTACTATAATTCCTATATTATTATTTGGTGGAGATTTATGGGAAATTAATAAAACAGAAAATAGAAGATTACAATCATTCATAAATAACTGCCTCCGTACTTTAAATGGTATCTTCTACCCAAAAGTAATATCTAATAATAATTTATGGAGAATATCAAAACACACTCCAATTCATATTACATTAAAGAAACGTGGCATTCAATTCCTAGCTCACATCATAAGGAACTCAGACCATAATCTAGTTCATGACGCCATTGCATGGCTCTACACTTATAAAAGGAAAGAATATACAAAATATAAATCTTTATGGTATTATAAAACCATAAAAGATATTATGGAACTAAACTTAAACATGAAACAATTTATCAAGTTAAACAACTGCAAAAATTCCATAAAGAAGCTCTTCAGATTTAAAGACAAATATTTTAAATAAAAAACATCTGGGCTTGTTTTTATAATGTTAATTATTCTCAACTAGTATTTTCCAAACCTTTTCAGAACTTCAGGACAAACCGAAATGGAATTGGTATGCTCTTTAAATTTTTTTTTTTAGTATAAATTCACAGCTTTAATTATAAAAAATTAAATCTAAAATCAGCCACAACCCATTTTTAAAGTAATTAACTTATACTGCAGTTATTGGGCATAGGCTCTTTTTTTTGCCCCGCTCTTTTTCTTAAAGCCTATAAACGTCTGTAACATTTTTCGAAATGTTGCGCGTACAAGTACGTGCGGCTTGCCCACAAACGTGTAGAGGGCTCCTCATATTTTTTTTAAACTTTAAACCCAATTAACTTATGTTCCAATTAGATGGAAATGAGGAATACCTAGCGTAGCTCTGTTGTTTATTCAACGTCAGAGGGCATATGAGCTATATATCACGGATCACGGAATTTGATTATATATATATATACTTTTTCTTAAAATTGTTTTTTTAATAAAAATTTGAATAATTATTTAGAGTTCATTGTATAATAAAGTTTTAATTTAAATTTGAATAATGAGAATCAGACGATATTTATTATGCAATTTATAATTTTTGTATTCCAACGATGGTTATTATGCAATTTATAAATTTTGTATAAATGGACAATTTTTTTGTAATTTTTAAGTTTTAATTTTTTAAAGGATTAAATAAAGAAACTTAGAATAGTATAATTGCTTGAATTACACATTTTGATCCTTCCTTTTTGATTTATTTTAATAATAAATTTAAATTTAGCAAATCTATATGATTACCTCAGCCTCCAATACTACAACATTGAAAAAATACCATCATATTGACAATTTGTTGTTCTTGTTTACAATTTTTATAATATATCTTCCCCTGAATTATATTATTCCATCTCAACTTTATTTCACAAGAAAACAATAATAAAAATTAAGTTTCTATTATTTTCAATAGATGGTTATATTGGCTATAATTTAACTTATTTTATAAATGATTTTTTTATGTAAATAAAATGGTATATTTATAAAATTTGTCATACAAAAAAGTCATTCTTGACAAAAATTAGATATGGAATAATCAAATTTACAGGCGTTTATATATAAAGAATAAAATAAAAATGATTATATAAAAATAATATACGATTTTACGAATTTAGAGATAATTTATATAATATATTTATTTTAACAAATAAACTTTTTTTTGAACTATCTTTAGAATATTTTAGTAAAGATGACTTAAGTTTAATTAAAATTTTAGGACAAGAAAAACATAATAGAGCAAAAAGTTTTCCTAACAGAAATTAAGCTATCGCAACCTTAAATTATTTGATTGCATAAATGTACTAACGAATCAGCGGGAAAACGGTATGGTGATGGTAGACCAAGGTCGTAATATAAAAAATGTTGATTCTGTTGAAACACTAGTAACTGGTATTGAGCCAAGAAGACCGACCTGACACCCACAAAACAATTCATCAATTATTTCGAACTGGTATTTGTAACCGTCAGTGTATCGGAGTATCCACAAAGATGAAATGATTAATAAGGAAACAAGTCCATGACCTAACCGATGCAGATAAGATTGCCGGTCTGGTATGTATATGAAGATACTCTCAGAAGTTAGTTCATTTCATATGGTTTACATCACGAATGAAAAGCTGTTTATAGTAACTCCAACGGTAAATCTGCAATGAGAGGGTGGACGTTACAGTTTCAATGAGAAAAAATAAGTTACAGCTAATCGATTGCTAGTACAACATTTAACTTAGATTAATTTCAAATGTTGTGTTTACATGTTATTGACGGATTGTGAAATTTAATAAAAAATAAATTTTTACATGTTGGAAAGTTCGAATTTTGTTTGTCTAACTTTG